ACGTCTGTGGCTTGAAGGGGATGCAAAGGCTCTTGGCCCCCATGGAAGGTGCCCCCACCTCTACATCTTGATCCCTGGGGGGAATGGAATAGAAACTGTCTGAGGTTCTGTCTTGGACGAAACGTAACACAGTCTCAGTATCTCCCAATGATAAACACTCCCAAAAACAGCCAGCAGGTTGTTATCACAAATCCCAGATGTGATGCCAACTCATTCTGCTCATGTGAAAATTCAAACATGTGCAAGCACTGTATTCCAGGAGCACGTATTATTGAGCACTAGGTCAGAGCAGGGAATGTGAAAAACCATTAACAAGCCACCATAAAATTTCGGAGCTTTGAAGGCACTGGTCCAGCTCACATATGCCTATGATACAAGGTTGTGTCTTGTGTCTAGACTCAGGCTGACTTCTGACGACCTGTATATGAGGCCATGGCTGCAACAATGAGATACTGAGGCTGTGTTGTCCAGACCTTGCTACACTACTTGCTGTACTGCTATGTTTCACTGGTTCTCACATGTCCAGTCATTTTACAAAAAGGTGTCCAGACTACAATACATAGTCTGGAATACAAAGACATTAAGATGAGACCTGAGACACTCACCCTGCACTGTCTTTCTTAATCCTGTCTTCCCAGCTGCCCTCACCACAAAATGGGGCTTGGATTAGCTGAAACAAAAAAAACAGAGGGAACACTGGCCACTGAAACAACCTGCAGTCCGTTAGGACCATTCTTGTATACGCATGTAGTTTGATTGCTTGGTCTGGCAACATAAAATCCCAAATTTGCTGATCATTTTGGGACAACAACTGTCCCGAATCCCCAACAACACACCACTGCATGACAACCCAGTAAACAGTCTTTGCACTTTGACATTTCCTGTCTGAATAACAGAGGCCGGGCTTTAAACCTCCTCCTAAATCTTAAGTGAAAAATTTAGAGGCCCCAGGAGGTGTACCATTAAAGAGCAGTTTGTCTACCTAATTGCATTTACTTTTCTATCAACCTGGGACACCTACTGCAGCAAGTTAGGAGACTACCAACAAAGACCAATATGGCAAAGAATTCTAGAAATTGAAGCAGCAACGACATGTACAGTTTTGTTCAAGCTACCAGTTTGTATTTCATTCATATCTGATCATGAATATTATTCATCAAATCAATTAAATTAGCTGCATCAGATGTTGACTTGTATAGTTTTGTAATTAGTTAATACCACATTGCTATCATGATGGTCCAACTGATCAAATGCCAATCATCAAGTTGTTAAATTTATGTACCAAACTTTATTCCAAAGGAAAAAAAGCGAGAACGGAAAGTCTGTACCTGATACTACAAATGGCCCCATTTAAAAAGTTGAATGATTAATCTTTTATGCATTACGCATGTTTTATATAAGTAGTGTTGCAGTGGATGTGTGGCCTGCTGAGTAGGGCTTGTGACTCATCATCAGAGGTTCAGCGGTTCAAATCCAGCAATAAACTGTGGCTTTGGGCAAGCCATTTCAACCCCCCCCCCTTGCCTCTCTAAATTCAAAAGTTAAGTGGCTTCAGGAGAGCCATTGTGATGCACTGGCATCCCATCCAGGGGAGAACAGACATATTTTCAGTCTCTTCATGACAAGAAAGGTTGGGGATAAATACTGTCCTCATGACATGGATGAGAAAAAAATGGTAGAGACAGAGTTTGCTGTGTTGTAGTGTCCTCTCTTACTTGATGGTCTTCAGCTTCTATTCCTGTTCTTAACTTCCAATTTATTGTCAATAGTGTTTGGATCAAAAATCTGAATATTTTCTTTGAACAAGAATATCTTGGCTATCACTGGAATGTCATTTCCTTTACAAATTGGGTAAAAGGGTTTTGGAATGTGCGGGAGGGGTATAACAAGACAGAAAAATGAGGCATCAACAAAACTTTCATGTATTAATAAGTTTCACTCCAAGTCCCCTTTTTTTAACAAGAAAAGAACTCACATTTTTCAGGTCCAGATATGAGCAGAATTCATTCCAAACTCGGTCCCCTTCAGGTGGTTCTTCAAGCCCTTGCTTGCCCTATCAAGCCAAAAAAGTCACTCAATCGAAAAATGGCCCGAGGAAGGTGATTTTTGGACCCCTGACCCTAATAGAGGTTTTTGGATAGAAACAACCACATTTTGAAAGATTTTGTACATAAAATAGTCATCCAATTGCATTGGGCCTATTTTCCTCTCACCTCTGATTGAAGAAAATCACCTGCTACACTTCCAGACAGCCCTGAGAGGGGCATATGGCCATAGAAATCATGCATTTTCCATTCTGAACACTAAACTGAGATTTACTTATCATAGAGCCGGTGATGAATATCTTCCAACATCTCCTTGGCTTTGCTAACTGCCTTGCTCTCTTTGTAGGTAACTTTCTCCCCCGTATCACGGCAAACCATGACAATCTCTCCTCTGTCCACGTCGCAGGGGCCTAGCTCCACACGTACCGGCACACCCTGCTCAAATTAAGACGTTTTGCCATTGTCGGGATAACAAGTTAATGCAAATCTCTCATGCTGACACCAACCTCAAAATTTATGACTCATGATACACGGTATGTTAATGCATGCATATGATGAAACCACCATACAAGTGTTTTATTGCAGGATGAAAAAAAAACTGGTACTTTGACAAGACTGTATTGCCATTTACATACGAATATCTTCCACACTTGAATGCCAATACTCCCTTGCTATCAAATCATACAAACACCATATTAATGAGCACTTTTTGGAGATTAAAAAAGCATGCATACTTTCTGGGTACTCCATGTGCTTCTGCACAAACAGTATACAATTCTAACATGTTTTGAGGGTGGATAGTTGATATTAGCTACCCGAATTGATGGGAGGCAAAAACCTCTTGAGGTATGAGTAATACAAAATAATTGCATTACAAAGTGTTTTCTATACAACTAGTACAGTCCTTCCACCACTGCCGTGGTGCCAAGTTTCACTTATTCCATTAATAAAACCTCTCACCAGTGTGATCAACTGACCTTGAGCTCCCAGTGGTTGAACTTCCACCCAGGACTGTAGTTGTCTCGGTAGTCTTTGCGCACTTTGATCCCCACCACTTTGAACTTGTCAACGTATTCGTCGCACTTGCTGAGCAGCGTCTCTTTCATCTGATTGGTGGTTGTCTTGGTGATTCCACACGGCACAATGATAATCTGGTTTCATACAAAAAGCAAAATCCATTGTGAGCAAAAAGAATGAATCATATTCTGTGAAAAAATCCCTCCTTTTCTGCCGTTTTGGTTCCCTAAATTTGCTAACAAAAACAAAGCCTAGCCGAGACAGCAGAACTTGAAACTAAGCAAAAGTAAATGCACAAGTTGTTGAGTTCCAGGGAATGGGAGAAATGCATGGTCATCCAGCAAAAGAATCCTAACAATAATAACAATACAATGCTGTGACTTCTCAGGCTTTATTACAGGAAGAGTTTTTCTGCCAAATAACCATCATTATGTTATTATTAAGTATTCGGGGAATGAAATCAAGCATTCCCCTAAAATGCCTGAGGCACTTTAGCTGGCAAGCCTGAAGAAACCTCAGTGGAAAAGAGACAATGATAAGCAGTTGCAGTTTTAGAGGTGGGAGGAAACCCCAGAAGAATATTCTGGGTAAAACCCACTGAATCAAGTGAGAACTGAAAACCAATCCATATATGGACTGAGCTGGGAATCAAACCCGGGCTGCCGAGGTGAAAGGTGAAGAAAGAATCTAATGCATAGGGTTCTATACGACATGCAAGACGTAGAAAAACCTGAATGGTTAAACTTTTAAAACTACAGAAATCTAGAAAGATCCTGAGCAACCACACCCAAACGGGCAGCTGCAACTTTGAAATTTGAAAAATGAAACAGATGTTTCCTGAGGGGAAAGGAGGCTGACAAGATGTGATGGATTTACTTAAAAACTGGGACATTACAGTGGCTCAGCTTAGTAATAGTGAATGCATCCGAACTCTGCATATTAGTCTGGTTACAGGAAGTGCTTAGATAGAAGTCAGTGACATGGAACAACACACTGGGAGACTGTTTCACCAGACCTTGTCTGAATAGGAAAGTGCAACTAAATTCTCTGGATGAGATTTGACTTGTGGGACATTATTTGCCTCATCAGTGAAGGCAAAGTGTGGAAATTTACACTACATGTACCTTTATTACAGCATTTGTCACACAAACCAAAATAAATGACCAAAGACAAAAAAAAAACCCAACTGGTTTTAACAACCTAGAAAAAAAAAGCAGCTTAGTCTATCTGATTAATGCGAGAAAGGACATGAACTTCTCATATCTCTACATGACTCTGTCATCCCCTCACAAATGTACTCAGTTTACACTCAGTTTCAGGACAAACGTGTGTTATCATATACATGTAGTCGCCAGGTCCCCGACATCGCCACATATTGTCAAGTCTGATTCGTTTTCACAGTAAGTGGCAAAATCAGTAAGGCTGTGCCGAATGTCCGAATAACCGAATATTCTATTGATTCAAATATTATTTTTGAATTTGAATGCAAAATTCATGAAAAGGGAGGGAGAATTTTCTTTTGTTTTAAATGACAAAAATTGCTTGTTCCAAGCAGATTCAAATGAAAAACTTACGATTCAAGTACATTATTCATTAAAAAATTTAAAAGGAATATACAATTTCATCAGGACACGAAGTCTTATTCGTCTCTTGCTAAATCGTGGCTGGAGATACTCCAAGTGAGAAGCTACTACAGTGATTACAATGTACAACTGTGTGCATTATTGCAACTGATTTTGTATACGGTTTTTTCTCAACAAAGTGACAACCGAATATTTGGATATTCGATTGAATTGAATGTCGACTATTCGAATAGTAAATTATTTGAATTGACTCAGCTCCAAAAATAAGAGAACTGACAACTATATGGACTAGTTGTCTTTGAGTTGTGAATCTTTCTGTCCAAGACAAAAGTCCATCTGCATGTTGTTTACAACATGTCCTTTGTATCATAAACTACCACAACAGCAAGTGTCATCAGTTTTTGCAAATCTACAATTCATATTCTTGCTAACATGTTCCTCCTTCAATAGATCAAACACTGATGAATCCTGTGTCCTGGGTGTTAACTACAAAGTTTAAAAGAAAACAATGGCAGATTTTTTTTTTGATGTCACGTACCAACAGAGTATCTACCATGTATAACTTGAGCCATGCACATTTACATTCAAAGGACAATGCATCAGTAACTAACTACATGGTCCTGTGTTTGCTCAGTGGGCCAACATCATCAACCAGAAAAGAAACTTCCTCTGAATGATATCAACTGACAAAGGTCAACACTGTAATCTACTGACAAATGGACTAAGCTCTGATATGCAGAGTTTGATCAATGGTTTTTGTGGTGTAATGAGTCATTGAGAGTTCAAAAACTTGCATCTTTGAGAGTTCAAAGACCAAAATTGAAAAGGTCACTCATTATCATTAAATTCAAATCAGGTGCTACGTGCAGGTTCTAAAAATATCTGAAGAACATTCATGATAAATTGATTTTGATTCTATCGTAAGGACCCCTCAGAACAACAGGTAATATACATGTACACGTATTCAACTGTCCATGAATGAAATTCCATGCAATATTCACCCAGCTTAATACTAATACACTGCTTAACATAAAAAATAAACCTCTATTGTGCTTAACTTTTATCCCAAATCAAGAACTCTACTCTTTTAAATTCCTCCTTGTTTGCAACCATAACTGATCCAGAACAGATCCAGAACCAGACAAAATTTTCGGGGGGGAGTCAAATAATTTAAGAATACTTTTATGTGATATTTTGTGGCATTTTGAGGGGTTAGGCAAAAGTTGGGGCTTTTTACATGCTTTTGGAAAGAAGGAAAATAACAATGTAAATATAAAATGATGTAAATCACCTTTTACTCTTTATATTTTGAAAACCTTCTTTTTTAATTCTGTGTTTCAAAAATCTCCTATTACTCTATACATATATATTTAACAAATCTCCAATAAATCTTTTTTATCTCTTCTCATACAGGGCAACTTTCATTATAGAAAAGGGTGTCTTCCTCATTCAGAATGGACTTGAAACAAGTCTGACATTCATAACCTATGCACCTGCGACAGATCTCAGAGATCTTCAACTGCAACATGCATGTAATCTTACTTGTACGCAGGCCACCCTGGGAGGTAGCACCAACCCTTTGTTGTCCCCATGGACAAGGCACAGGACCCCGATGGTCCGAGTGGTGATGCCACATAAGTTCTGGTAAGCAAACTCATGAGTGCCCTCCTGTAATCAGATTCAATGAAAGACAAAATCCTAAAATACTGAATCTTCTTTGACTCTGAGATCATTTCCTAAGGTTCTCTTTCTCTAGGAATAAAATCCAACAGGGAAAAGGGGACATCTGTTGAACAGATCAAACAGATTTGACACACCTGTCCAGCCAAAACTTCTGGAAATCCACCACAGTTAAAAATAAAAGTCTTCAGGACTAATAAGTATCCTTTGGTTCCGATGAAACAATGAAACTGTGTGTGGACAAACATCAACCCGCACATGGCACACAATTTGACCAACAGATATGATTCAATCATTTAACTGAATCGAAAGGATGAAATTAAATTACTCACGTTGTTAGGGTCTTCAAACTTGATTTCTAATATCTTGGAGTAATTCTGGCCCAAGTGATGAGCTGTAGCACCCTGAAAAACGTCCAAAAGAAAAGGATTAATTTCACATTGTAGTGTTTAAGGACACCAATGCTTCCAGAGCAAGAAAGCTTTGGCAGGGGAATGTTACATACATGTACACCTTAGCCAAACTAGTTCAACACAATGGACTGATGCAGGTTTGCAGCATTAAGATTCAGCCTCCACACCCATTGCAAATTCTACATATTGAGGGTCCAAGTCCAGTCTGTGAGATTGTCATACATGCGATTTGCCGGAGTGGCTATTTGGGCTTGAAGCGGTCATCTCAAGCAGCAAGCATAGGAGCTGGAATTATTTTGGGTGTGTTTACAGACTTGCAGAGTTACTGAAGTGCCTTAAACACAGGTATCTCCTCTTAGCAGAATATGAATGAAAGTTGCTGTCGTCGTTTCTGTTACTTAGACGATGTCCGCTGGACTTATTCTTGAACACAAAAGAATTTGAAGCATATTGGTTCTCTTGCATCATCCAAACATGGCTTATTTTGTAAAAGAAAAAAAACAGACAGACCAATGTGACATATTACAGATTACGGATATGCAATGTGACTGGTAAAATTCTACTGGCTGTAAGTACAATGCCACTGTAAAGAAAAAAAGTCCCCACCCACAAACCTCTCCTTCTCAGTTTTCTTTCCCTGCACCACAGGGATGGCCAGAAGCTCCTCATAGACCTTGGCGTAGTGGCCCAGGATTGTGAAGACTTCCTCCTCGGCGTTGGCACGGTTGGACCAGGCTGTGTGGCCCTCTTGCCAAAGGAACTCGCGAGTCCTGAGGACGGGTAGTGCATTAGACTCCCACCTCTGATGGAAGAGACCAGAAGTACAAAGACATACAATTTCTATTGCAATCTGGATAAAAGCTGCCTTCTTTGATGGAAAACTTGCCTCTTAGCAGTGAGCACACAAGAATCACTGGAAAAGTTAGTGGGCCTGACATTTCAATCCCAAAAGAAATTAAATGTTCAAAGGCAAAAGAATCACATATGTATACGAAAAATCACAATCCAAATGCTAAATACATGTATTCAAATATTCCACCTTTCTATTCCATTAAATTATCAGTTATACCAAATTCCCATAGAGCAGAAACAAAATACATGCATGCATTTTTGTACAGTGAAACTGGTTGAATTTCGGGGAAGGAGTTCATTCCCTGGTTTAGGGAGGAGGCTGGGAGTCCAACTTAGCTTCGGTCCTAATTCATTATTTATTTCCTTGCTCCAAGTGAGACAACACACCACCAAAAAAAAGAAAAAAGAACATTAGAAGGAAACAACTGTTTGGCCTTGTGGGCCTCGAGCTCGACCAAGAGAGGGCGCTATTTCCTTAGCAACGGAGGCTCCTTTGGTACCAACTTCACATCACTGGTTCATGAACAACTTATATATGGCCCACCATTCCATAACAGGACAGAAAAATTTCAAGCTGTTATCCTGAAAAAATGGATGATGCAAATTCCACAACTTACCCAAAAAATTGGATCACTCTGAAGAATGGAATTTTATAGTGCAGGACAGAAATTATCAAACATCTATATGTACCTACTTCAGAATGGCTCTACAATGGCGGGTCACATATCTCGATAAAAAATGTAGCGCGAATGACATGCTCATTCTGAACGGTGTTTTCCTTTGCTCTGTCCTTTCCAAACTCGATCTGTAGTATCCTTGCACACTTTCATAAAGAAAATCTCTTTTAAACGACAACTTAGTCAGAAAACATGCGGACGAATCAGTGAATCAGGTGGGGTGATGTACATACCACAATGTTGCACCACTGGTTGAGTTTGATGGGGAGATCCCTGGGGGACAGGACCCATTTGGCGAATGCAGGGTACATCACTGCAAGAAGAAAGGGAAGCCAAATTTTGCTTCATGCTCTAACTTCACAATTAGTGACTACGGTTCTGTACTTTCACATGTCCTGTTTAGTTTGTCTCTACACCGTCACAACAATCTAGGAGGAAACTCATCAAGATTTTGACCAGCTTCCCCAGCAAAACGCTGGAGAAGGCTGCTACCATCAGGTTCATAAATATAAATGAGGTATTTAGAGCTCATGACTACATTTATTATATGGGCATGACTAACATGTCTCGCTGGTAGGGGGGATGGCAATTGGTTCGGCCATTTCAGAGCTGCCCGACTTGGTCACCCAGGCAACCTTGGAGAAAGAAATAAATGTAAAATTTGACATAAGAAAGGTACAAAAATGCATAAAATCTTGAAGCAAACATTTGATTAACGAAGACATGGTTTCCCCATTAGGCCCCATAAAAAAATAAGTTGTTGACCGTCCTTTTTTTCCAAAAAGTTGGGTCGGTTGGGAGGTTTTTTTCTCATGACACCACTAATCTGACACGAAACAATTGATCATGTTTAGTTTCTCACCTAAAAACTTACACGTGTTTCATTTTTTATCTTGGCTCCGTGTCAATGATCAATTTCACTTTCAGATAATTTTTCTAATTCTACAAAACCAACAATGTGTGTGCAAATCTGTGTGAATGTTTGGTCAAACCATGCATTGCCAACACGTGCTGCACGGGTGATTGCCAATCTGGGCTTCGTCTCCAACTTGCTTCATTTATCATCCAATAACTTTGGAAGTTCTAGCTCAGTAATGCTATGCTACTGACCAAAAGATGGAAGTAATAAATACAGGCCAACAAGTGATTTTTATGTCAGAGGCAAATGTGCAGCAGAGGCGAGGCTGAAATTTGGAAAAGTTTTTCTAGCCTTCCGGCAAGATTATATTACAACAAGCACACTCTGTGATTGTTGAACCGAACATTTAGCAGCAAACAAGTCTAGATGCAGAGTGCTGTCATCCGACTAGTCCGGTGTCACATATCAGGTTTCTGCGAAGTATTTGGATGGATTCATTGCATACAAGTACTGTACAGCTCAAGCATGTGGCACAACCTGCGCTGCGGGGCCAGTGCCGCCACTACACCTGCAATTCCACATGAACAGAGACTTCTGAAGTTAGCAGGTTCCGCTCTGGATTGTACTGTCTCTTCATGGGTTTGTACTCAGAACTGAATTATTGTGGTCTCAATCTTCACCATATGAACTTTAAAAGACAGTGATCAGGCCATTTTGGTAGGTCGGGCGGGGACGATAAAAAAATTATTTTTATGGGGCCTGAAGAGTGTTAATGCAGTGCACTTTCCATGTTGTAGAAGGAGTCACAGGTGAACATGTACCTCTAAGCGCAAACAACAACTGTACGTAGCAGGCTACAAAATTAATGGAATTTAATTTGCAGTTTAAAACATTCCACTGTGTGCAAGACAATAAATGTAACTTTTACCAAATTAAAACTAACAAGCGTTTGATACAGGTAGAGGCAAAATTCAAGCTCAAGTAATCTGTGTCAAGATAAGTGAAGCATTCATGAGGACCAAAAAACAAGATCAATATGAAAACAACAAACTTTCTCGTTCTCTGGTACAGGCTGTGATGACATTAATTTTCAGTGTAATGGCAATAAGTTAAAACCATACAACTAAAAAGCTGGGCATTTCTTTCTCAAGTAAACTGAATACTTTTACTCTCTGACCTGGGTTTCCCCCAAAATATGGCTTTATATCTGCCTTCCGATTCCAAAAATTTTAGAAATCCCCATTTCTTTGTTTTCGCGTAGTTAAGAAAACTTTTTTTTTCATTTTCTTGAACTGACAACACTTTTAAGCTGGATTTCTGTTGATAGTTTCCTTGACTGTTCTTTTTCCTTTCGCTCCAGATAACCATAACCCCAAAAGCCTCTAAAACTGTTTTCAAGGAAGGGGGTAACCTTGTGTGGACTTGTCTTGGTCCACACAAGGTTAGCAAAAGCTGTATTACATGTACTAGACCTCCTATATTCATGGGTCCACACAAAGTATGTACATGTAAAGTTGGCAGACATTGATAAACTCTGCACTGAACTTTCTCTTGTCGTTTTCATGTTCATTGTCCTGTCAGTTTCGCCTCAGCATGAGTGAACTTTGAAACTGTTGGTCTCGTCTGGCTTACCTCACAGGAGAATTCAGCTGTGTGGTCCTTCCCACGGTGCAGTGCCGCATATGATTCAAACATGGGGAAGTAGCAGTTCTCCACCCCCAGTTTTTTGATGCAGCCGCCAAAGTACTCTTTGATGGCTTCCTAGATGGCGTAGGACCATGGACGCAAGACATAGCAGCCACTGACGTCATAATACTCAATCATCTCTGACTTGGTGATGACCTGGCCACAGAACAGAAAAGCACTACCGCTGAGCAGGCTTTTCCAGGATTTTGTTGACGTAGCACTGTTGAAACGGTTCTCCGGCTGGTGCATGTACGCACTGAGCCGGTATGGTCCCGGTCACTTCAATGCACATAATTAAATGTAGTATAGTAACACGTGTGTAGTTACAGTTATACACTGTCCCAAGTGCGAGGCGCAGAGCCTTACCGCCTCGAGCCCATCGTGCCACCGGAGCGCCAATGGGATCCCAATCGGGCTGACGATGGGGCCACCGCTGGTGAACAAGGCAGTGAAGGAGTCCATGATCATTTGATAAATATGGTTTGGTAAGTTCAGAGTGAGGGACAGATGTTTTTCAATGTTTTTTATGTTGTTATTTTATTCCGAAAAAAGTGTCCCCGGGCGAAGCTGGCAGCTCAGGCATGCAGGCCTTTGTACAAAAACATATCCACGAAACCAGATCCTGCAAGGTCATGACGTTTTTCGTTTCCACTGTGGTACGTAATCAAAAAAGCATTTCTGCGTGGCACCACCAATGGTACAAATGTGGAAAGGTTTTGAAAAACCTGCTGAATTGGTCCATATTTTTCATCACCGTTGGGGTTGCTCTTTAAGCGAGCTCAGTGCTCAAAGGTGATACTCTAGGCCCTACACCATGGCTGTTTTATCATGGAGTTCTCTGCATAAGATCATCAGTGCATACTTACAGTTCAGGCAAAGACAGACTCTGCTTACCTTGCAAGAAAGATACCTTTTAGTTGTGGGATGTTTGCATGTGCTGAAGCCAAATTACCCTTGGAGATATGCTTATTTCGAATGCAAGATTTTCTGCTAGGGGTTGGCCATATCAAAATCAAAATGGACGTTGACTCTTCAAGTTTGGAACTTAAAAGTAGTAATAAAAGCAATACAATAGAAATGTGTATATCGGTACTAGTTTATTACGATGAGTAATTTTACATTTATAATTAAACAGACCTTAGTATTTAAACCAGGTAATGAAACATATTGAAAGGGGGCTTGGCAAGCCCAAACATCATATCATAGTCTTCTGACATCCATATCAAGACATGTAGTTCACAATTTAGAAAACAGATTCTGGGAGCATGATCAAACTTGGCTTCCTTCTGTAAGGTTGATAGACCACAGACATTTTTATGTGACATTGGGCAAAGATCCTAATTGGAAGCCATTTCCTTGAGTAATCAAAGCATTGCAAGCCCATTATAAGCCAATCTTCTGAGTAGAAGTACATGTAACTTCTCACCAGCTCATTGAAATGGCCAGTACTTGGTACCGAGTCAAATTACCTGTGAGTACCACTCACTCAGATTCTCGTCTTTCTTGACCTCCAGGCCCAGCCTCGGCTGATTCTTGCCCACCCCTGCTGCTGCTACCTCCTTGATCTCTTCCTTGGCTTTCTTGGGCTCTGCCACCATCCCCTTCTGCTTGTCGGCCCTCTTGTCTGCCTTTTGACAACCCCCTGGGGGCTTGTAGTCACTGCCAGTCAGGGCTTTGTAGTCAGCTTTGAGGCCGAGGAGAGTTTTAATTTCAGTGTCTTCCGTTTCCTGTCAAATGAAAGGTTCTAGGTTTTTTCAAAGTTCACTTTAGATCATAAGACAACCACTACATGTAATTGAAACGGTCTGATGAAGAGGTAGCTTTTATACCATATTAAAAGATCTGTTCCCTATAAGTAACAGTGGCTGAATGATTCCAAAGCGGGGGAGGCCCAGTTGTGAGACTATCAGGCATCAGCCATTAACATACATTCATTAAGCTCAAGCCCATTATAGGACCTGCAAAGAGTGGGGGAATGCCCTCCCCCAGTCAAAAAAGTGAGGAGGGACCACTGGCCCCCTGCCAGCTTACATGTATAAGACCTCTTCTTATCTACAAATACCAGCTCAGCTCAGAAATGAGTTGTCAAATAATCTGTTCCTGTATTTTTTAAAATGAAATAATACCTTTGGTGCCTTGTCTGTTTTCAGCTGCCAGACTTTATCCCCCTGGGCCGTTATCTTGTCGGCAAGTGCTGCCATCAGGTCCTGCAGTCTCGGCCACATCAGATCAGAGTGATCAATTGGGAGGGGAATTATCCTTGGGGTTACTGGCCTTCTGGCCACCAGTGGCTGTGGTGGCTGAGTGGTAAATTAGCATGAGGACGGTGGAATTTTACATGGCATGAAAATATGGTTTATTACATGTAGATGCCATCTCAGTTTCCCAACAAACAAATGAGGACATTTTTTTAACAACACTACATTCACTCTCTTTCTTCAGATAACAGTATAAGCTGATATCTAAAGAAACAGGATGAATAACAAGAGCAATGTTAACTGAAGACAAAAGCAAAACAAAATTGTGGTCAGTCTGCTAAGGTCGGGTGTAAGACCATCTTTGCTGAAGACGTGTCCATAGAATCAGACTTGTGGCAGAGAGAATTTACACTTCTGTTTGTTCAGCTTGGCATTATGGCTCTGAAGTCTGTCGAGTACTGCTTTCAGGTTCTTGTTGTGTTCCTGTCAGTCTTTACCAGAGACGATGATGTCATCTGACACATTTTGCATCCGTCTAGACTAGTGAGGAGTTGTGCTACGGCTGTCTGGAATAGTTTAGAAGCAGCATTGATGGCAAACATCAGAAGTTTGTATCGCAAGAGAATGCCATGAGTGTTGAAGGTTATGTTGTTGTGGCAATCGTCCTTCAGTTCAAACTGGAGATAGCCGGTGTGCTGAATACGGTCCTTCCATTCAGATCAGCAACATTTGATCATCTAGGGTGGGCACAGTGGGTGTCACTCTCGCTGAATAGATTCTGTTCACACCTGAAGGCTTTGGTATGAGAATACGGCTTACCCATGAGGTTGGACCATTAATGCTCTCTATGATGTCAGCATCTTTCAATTGCTGTACATGTACATGTAGCTCATGCTCCACATCTTAACCAGTGTGGAAGGGAATGCGTCGTTATTTTTGTCGTTTCGATTTTACTTCAGGATCAATATGAAGAGATATTTTGACATCTTACATTTTTTCAATGCCCAAAAACACGTCACCAGACTACTTCATTATTTGCTCAGCTCCATATTGTTAGCGGAACTCAGCAAAGTATTGGGGCCAATTAGTGACTGCAGCTTCAATTACGCCACACACCAGGTAGGGTGTCTTTGTACCATAGGCGAAAACTCTAGATGTAGATTTTCAGGTTTGGAACTTCTGGCCATTACACTGAAGGAGATCAAATGATGTGAGATTGAGAACCTTAACAGTTGCTCCTGAATCTATCATGGCCATCAAGGCAGTGTTCCCAATGGTCATCTTGTGTGTAGGTACTACATGTAATAGCAGAGTAAATGGCACATGCAGAGTCATGCTAGTTGGCAAAGATGTAGTCAATATCGGTGTCATCTTGGTCAATGGTGCCAACAGTTAAGGAACAGCAAACAGAATCAAAATGTCTGATTTTTCTGCAGTTTTGGTACTTTTTCCCTTTTGATGGGCAAACTCCGGCATGAAAGTGCACTCCTTCAACTAGTCAAATATCGCGAGGTTTACATTAGTAGTCAATATTGGTGTCATCTTGGTCAATGGTGCCAACAGTTAAGGAACAGCAAACAGAATCAAAATGTCTGATTTTTCTGCAGTTTCGGTACTTTTTCCCTTTTGATGGGCAAACTCCGGCATGAAAGTGCACTCCTTCAACTAGTCAAATATCGCGAGGTTTACATTAGCAGTGTAGTTGGCTGCCTGGTTACACAATTTAGCCAGTTCCACAATAAAAAATGTCCTTCGTTTTCAGAAAGACAGAACTGCCGAAGACTCAGTTCGTAGTCTGTAACTTAAAGGTCTTCCAGAATAATAACATGCGGAACCACTTCAGTGAATCACGAAGAGCGGCCCACTCGTTTTTTTGCCGCTTGCGGTTCGCGATAACTGCGCGTACGCGTTCTGCGCAATGTTGCATTTACTGATCTCTTTACTCGATCGTCACTGAGTTTATTTGTTTCAAACCAACCACCTATGCTACAATTAGAAATTCACAGATTTTCCGCCATAATAATAGAATTTTGTCTATTAATGCCGACAATTGTTGGGATGAATTGCCCTCTCATGGTGTTCAGAAAGAGAGTGCTGCTTGAGTGTTCGTATAAGGCATGTGTGACTTGAACAAGCTCTTCATTGATGTTAAATCCTTGAGGACTCTCCAGCGGCTTCTGCGCATGTCAAACTCTGTAAAAAGGGTCTTTTTTAAGTCAATCAAATTACACGACAAGTGCACAACAAAACTGTAAATATGTAGGTGTTGATCCAGTGTTTAACCATGATCAAGTTTCTTCTACAAATTGTATGTAATTAGAGGCAATTCTCTAAAGAAACCAGGCTACACATATTTGCCTCATTACAACAATTCTGACAACGAAGGATTACTAATTTTCATTTCAATTACTACATTTGTGTCACTACGCAAACTGTCGGTGACAAAATAGCTATCTCCCTAACACCAAATAGTATCAAACAACTCAGAAAATACTGGTTGATGGATCGAGAGCTTTACCTCATCTAAAAGGTTCAATGCCTAACAAATCTCTTCATAAACAAAAAAAGAAAAAAGTAAAAGCCTCAAGAATTGACCAAACACAAAAAGCAAAAGAGCAAATACAACATGACATGGCTTGTATATAGAATAGAGCACCTCAAACATTTTGCATACCATAACACGCTTTAGTGTAACACCAGAGCTTATAACATAGTGTGAGTTTCATCTGTTAAATAAGGCCACATTATAGAACAAGGAGTAACTGGGTGCCAAATAAAATATAAATATCAGTCAGGGATGTTGAGCATGAATGCGATGCTTTGCCTCTTACTAATTATGTAAGTATTCTCCGCATAAGTTGGAGCACCAACTTACACTTTTTTAAAGACAAACCACTACAAAAACTAAAGGGTGTTTTATCCTCTCTTGATCCTCCTGCCCACTATTCACTATTATGATTCCGCCCCTCATGCTCAAAAAGCCCACTGTATCACAATTGGAAAAGCCATGATCTATCAAATAAAAATGAGTTTTTCAGTTCATATACCTGTTTGTTAAATGTCAAGACTTTGTTTAAGTAAAAATCACTTAAGTGTGTTCAGAGAGTGTTTCTTTTGCTTCTAAAATAGATTTTCTGTATGCATTTTCCTGAAATATTTCATTAAAATCTAACTGACACAGAAAACACAAAGTGCTTTGATTTGTGTGAAAGTAAATACCAATAATTACAGAGGAATAGGTTCCTCCACAGTTTGAAAACACAGATTGTAAGACTCTTAAAGTAATTTCATGTCATAACTCACGAGGTCCTAAACAAGGTCATGTTAGTACAAGACTAACAAAAGCTGAGAATTGGTTACTGATTGGTTGACATTTTTTCAGGGGATGGAAGCTAAGGACAAAATGTTTTCGGAATTTTTGTCCTGTTCACATATAGCAGGTTTTCAGTCAAATTTCATCAAAGAAAGGTTGAAAAATTCTCAGACCAGCATCAAGTAATAGAAACTGGCTATTAACAAGAAATATCTAGAGAGAGCGATTTACATAGTTGATGTCTATTCCTGTAGATACAGGGTTGACTCTTTCGAGACACTTCCAACATACAACTATACAGTTTTGTGTTTCTGCACCCTGTACAAATGTGCATAAAGCACAAGTTTGTTTTTCTGTTTGGAAACTGTAGACCATCTACGTAATCAGAATAGTTCTTTAGCATGGAGTGCATAGATGACCTACTTCTCACAGAATGATGGCATAGCCAATGCCTACATTTTAATAGGCCTCCTAAGCAATCTGTCAAAAGACATTTGGAAAAATGACCTTAATAGAAAGCTGCCTGACACACACACACAAAATACTGAACCTCCCCCCAGAAAAGAGAGAAAAGAACATTACAACCAGCTTAAGAATACCGTAGAAAATAGTTCCCACCCAAACTCACAATGCACAGACATTTCACTTTCTATAGTTTCAGCTTCAAGTAATCTAGCCTTTGAACAGGAGAATCCTATGATAGTTACAACAAGCTGTAAGTGGCGCTTGGAAGTGAAGAATCAAACTCTTCAAACTGGGAAGAGGCACGTTGGTTAGTAGCTGCGTCCAAACATGCAGTAGAACTTGGCAAGCTTGCTGCAGTCGGGGTAAATGCACTTAGTGCCCTCCATCACCTCGGCTGGCTGCTTGAAGGGGATGCAAAGGCTCTTGGCCCCCATGGAAGGTGCCCCCACCTCTACATCTTGATCCCTGGGGGAGGGGGGAATGGAGTGGAAACTGTCTGAGGTTCTGTCTTGGTCTAAACTAAACAATGTCTCAGTAACTCACAGTAATAAACACTCTACAAAATGGCCAGCAGATTGTTGTCATAATGAACGCAGATGTAGTGCCAACTCACATGCAAATCAAAACGTGCAAGCACTGTATTCCAGGTGCATATATCATTGAGCACTAGGTCAATATGAGTAGGGAATGTGAAAAAACCATTAACAAGCCATAATGAAATTTCCGGAGCTTTGAAGACACTGGTCCTGCTCACATATGCCGATGATACAAGGTAGTGCCTGGTTTCCAGACACAGACTGGCCTCTGATCATTTGAGGCCATATCAAAATGGTGTGGCAGATACTTAGGCTGTGTTGTCCAGACCTTGCTGCACTACTTGTAACAATGCTATGCTTCACTGGTTCCCTGGTGTTCAGTCATTCATGTTTCATTCATTCATTTAAAGTCATTCATGTGAAAAGGTGCCCAGACTACAACACACTACTTGAAATTTAATTATGTACTTCTTTGACTCAGGAAAATAAATGAACGCAAAGAAGAGTTTCCCTGATTGCTTGAGGGGAACAATTGTAATTTCAAATTTCCTCTTAAAGGGCCCGTTTTATGAATTTTGAGCAACTGTCCCCTCTTATCTGACATCCCTTTTGGGTTAGTCTTGCTGAAAAGGGAACTTCATTTTAAACGTTTACAATTTCTCACACTTTTCCTGATAAATGAGGGTGCTGTTGCTGTGATTCCATTTCAGACATTTTCCGTACCAGGGCCTTTCTCTTTTGGCTAACACGTAATTTGTAAGGGCTGCCAAAGTTTACAGAAAGCTCAACCATGGTCAGTGACACGTTTGTTCCGAAAGTGCAAAATTGCCCAATTGATGTTAAAGAGAGAGGTATTTTCATTGATGAGTAAGTTACTGAGGTTTGATAGGTGCATGAGAGTTTCTAAGGCTTTGTGAATTGATTCGTTGCTGATACTCAGCCACATTTGACCAGAAACTAACAAGCAAGTAATTGAACTGTGACATAGCAAGAGCCATCTCTATAGACCTAAACATAATGATGCAGCACTTTGTTTACATGTGTGCTTTCCAGTGTTGTAGTCAAGACCACTTAAGACCTTAAAAAGACCAGTACAAGACCAACACAAGACCTCTAGTTTGAATTCAAGCCACAAGCTATTCAAATGAACTGCAACAAAAGCATTCCTTTGTCATTGTTCACGCTGTAACTTGTTACTGGTCTTCTGCATGGTCTTGTGCCTGGTCTTGTGTCTAGTTTTGTGTCTGGTCTTCTGATGGTCTCGACTACAACACTGGTGCTTCCCTGCCGGGGGGGGGGTGCAAACCATGGTGGACGTCATGTTACAGGTCTATTGCCAGTCCCAAATTTGCTCAATGAAATAATACTGTCATGAAACTTTGCTTACTGGCCTGTGAAAATGTTCAACAAGTATCCAAAACATCTGTCAGACTTTACTGCTGAAACAGCTGTAGCATTGAGGTTTCTTCCTAAAATGACATCACACTTTTGACCATGACTGTGCAGACTGCATTAGCTTAAAAATTTTGAAAGGCATCAAATTACCCTTAAACACACTGCATGCGAAAAATACACTGCATGGGAAAATATGCAGCATGGGGCAGTACAAGGCAAGGGAAAATACACGGTATGGGAAAATGGACTGCATGGGAAAATACACTGCGTGGGAAAATATGCAGCATGGGGCAATACAAGGCATGGGAAAATACACGGTATGGGAAAATGGACTGCATGGGAAAATACACTGCATGGGAAAATATGCAGCATGGGGCAATACAAGGCATGGGAAAATACACGTTATGGGAAAATGGACTGCATGCAAAAAATACATTGCATGGGAAAATATGCGGCATGGGGCAACACAAGGCATGGGAAAATACATGGTATGGGAAAATAGATTGCATGGGAAAATACACTGTGTGGGAAAATATGCAGCATGGGGCAATACAAGGCATGGAAAAATACACGGTATGGGAATATGGACTGCGTGGGAAAATATACAGCATGGGGCAATACAAGGCATGGGAAAATAGATTGCATGGAAAAATACACTGCGTGGGAAAATATGCAGCATGGGGCAATACACAGCATGGGAAAATGCACCGTATGGGAAAATAGATTGCATGGGACATGAGACACTCACCGTGCACTGTCTTTCTTGATCTTGTCTTCACAGCTGCCTTCACCACAAAATGGGGCTTGGATTAGCTGGAAAAAAACAGAGAGAACATTACGGCAAAAATAACATGTACAGTAATTTGATTAAACTTACAAGTACATGTACTTATTTTTATTCAGACCTGATTATAAATATTATTCATTAAAATAATTTGAGTCATCTGCATCAGACGTTGACTTTGATAGTATTTGTTAATTTTGGCTAACATCAACTTAGCAGCTTTTGTGGCACCAATTGCTGTGGTCCAACTGATCAAATGCCAATCATCAAATTGTTAAATTTATATACAAAACTTTATTTCAAAGAAAACTAGAAAAGCAAAGCCGCCATGGCTCGCTGCTTGTTATGAATTTGAATTTCTTTCCTGTAATAACAGGAAAGAAAGTGACATCAAGTTATACAAATATGGTTACTAAATTAAATAAGAAAATACTAACCAAGTTTCATCAAAATTTGTTACAAGATTGGTTGACATACGACTGCAATACAGATGTACAAGATATTTTATCAACCTTAGCAATAAAATCCATTGTACTCCAGAAGAAAAATCCTAGGAGTTTGTGCTGCATGCAGACTGTGTGTTGAAAGGTGCCTGTCATTTAAAAGTAAATCGACAAAGACCACCAACAAGGGAGATACAGGTGCAAAGGCTTCACAGTTCTTCACAGGAGAGAGGAATGCCTATAGAATGTGGGTTCAGTACAGTCAGACTAGACCTGGATGATTATACAAGCAGCGCATTTGTGAGTTTGATGGATGGTGCATAATTAAAATTCCTCTTAAGTACAGTTCTGCACTTTGTATCCAACCCCATCATCCTATCCTCCACAATTATACCTCTATCATCCATATCCCCTCATCCCATATCTACCATGTCTACTTTGACTCAACCCCTAATCCCATCTATGTATCTCCAATCTCACATCCACCTTATCTTTCCATTCATATCCTACTTCACCCCTCCCCATCATCCTATCCATCTCCAACTCCAACCCTCCCATCATTCTATCCATCTCCTACTCTGCCCCCTCCCCCTCATCCTCTCCATTTCCTACTCCAACCCTCCCATCATCCTATCCATCTCCTACTCCAACCCTCCCATCATCCTATCCATCTCCTACTCTGCCCCCTC